TAACTTGAGTATTTTTATCGTGCAATAATAACATCGTAGCTATTAATTTATTCCTTCAAATCAGGCCGTGTAGGCGCGACCACTGAAAAATACGTGACAGGGAACACGATACGATCAAGCGTATTAAACAATAAAACGCATTATGCAAAAGATATTTGCAAATTATGCGAAGAAAAATCTTTGTCCTTTAGCTACTCTTTAACCAACAGATATTCATATTTACCACAAAGTATTTTCAATGATTCGTATGACTCATGGAGGCTGTATATTTAAGAGTGAATACAATTTCCATCACTCAAAAATGATTAAGCTGTCAATAAACTGTAAACGATGCAATGATTGGAATGCAAATTTAAATTTCTCCGTTGTCATCCTGCCATCTCACGACTGAACGAAATTCCTCTTATTCTTAATTTGCTGGTTCTTGCGAGCAAGGAACTGGTCGAAGGACAACGGAGGTATAAACAGGCTATGGGACCTCCCTTTTGACTCTTTTTCTTCTCAACCATTGACGTCATGGGTAAAACCCTTTTAGCCCGATCAAGATTGGGTTCGTTGCTACACAACTCCGCTCTCCGGCGTCTTTTAGGACCTCGCAAAAAAATTTCGAATGAGGAACTCGTGAGAACATGTAGATGAAAAAATAGGAACTGACCGCAAGTTCCTGTTCCAAGTAGAAAAAAAAATGTACAATTCGTCTTTAATAACGAAGTAACACGATAATGTCTCAAGGTTGCGAAATATCTCGTCTTTGCACGACATTACATTTGGCCTTCGCGCCGATTATTCATCGGAGGGGAATTTCGGGACGCTCGAAGTATCTCAATAATTTAAAAGATCTCCGAACAAAACTATGACAAGATTAATATGACTAAATTGACGAATGATAAATCATCGTTAGGCATTACACTCAATTAATTTGACAAATTTATTTCGAAATTGAAAATACTAGGATATACGAAGGAAGGTAGCATCCTTGAGAGGTTCATGTTCCACCTTGAAACGTCTCAGGACCCTCCTACGAGTTTGCAAATTAACATGAACGAACGGAGTTGCCAGTCGAAACTTGCGGACTGAGTAAATTATGTATTTCGCTCCAACGTTTAATCCTCTTAAGTAATAAATCAGTTTATAAATTATAATTATGTATATCGCATGCGTTCCACGTGAACTTGACCTGCCGTACCGCCAAAAATAGGAGGAAATAAGCGATCAACTGTTTTACAGAAAAACGAAAGTCTACGATCGTCGTATGCTGCGCTTCCACGTTTTTATTGAATAATAATGAAAATACGACTGAATGAAAATATACGCATTTCTTTGGATGTGCCATGACACGCGAGTCGGCGGAGTTACATAAACGAGTGTCTACGATCTGACCTAGACCTGACCTAGATCCACAGTGAATCTAACTAAGGAGTAACCTAGATTCGATATACAAGTTAATGTTATCGGGATTGATAAAAATGTTGTGCAAATTGTACGTACAATTTTAGGCGAGAAAAGTAGAACATATTTTACATACGCGGTATACTTCCTTCTAAACTATCAGCCGACGACGCGAGGAACGATACTCGGATAAATTATTCTGACAAATTAGTGACTTATTGCTATTGTCACTCGCGTGCCACTTATACCATGAATCACGTTAACATTCATGAGAGTAAAGTCCTGGGATCCAGAAAAATTAAAGGTCATAGACGTTCAATTTATCAAAGAATTTAGTAAATATCTGGCTCATGCTCCGACGATTTAGTAGATGAAAATGTAAATCATTCACGTTGGAGTTCCGACTACTAATATTGAATATTAATGGAAGGCAGATAACACGAAGTGGTGTATCGTGTACCTCGTACTGAAATAAAAATATATTTAATGATTCCAATGAGATATGAAAATAGCCTTGAAGAGGGAAAAATTGTATTCCTTGAAAAACTCCTTTGAAATGTAATGCAAATTCTCCCACTCAAACTTTCATTGGTATCCTATTTCCAACTGGAAAGCGAAATGTACGAAATGAGGTTTTGGTGTCGTTTATATCAATTCGAACTATGCGAAAAGACATTCTCCACGTTTGATCAATAAAGATTCATGTCAATCGCGTTTACATTACATATTAATTAAAAATATATTTATATCTTTGTTCGTTTATGTTGAACCAATTCGATTGACGTGTTATGTATGGAAAAATTTCAAAACTTAGTTTCGGAAAATAAGTGACCGCAGATTTCCTAGATAATCAATAGTGGAACATCCTATTCCACGTCATAACGTGTAATTACTAAATACCAGTTTCCGTATATGCGCTACATTTATTTCTTTGAATCGAGAAAAAGAAGTTGTGGTAATGACGAAGGGAATACGTATCTAGCTTCTTGATCGAGCTACAATTAACGAGCAGCATCAGAGAACACGTGCCTCATGTGAAATTCGAGGATCGTGCGATTTGCGTCACATGCTTCTTGACAATCCTCTTCCTGGCTGATATCGCAAAAAAAATCTCCAAAACAACCGATTCAGGTATGCAAATCGTAGAAACGATTTGATGCAAACGAAACGATAAGACGTGTATATATTTAACATCTAGTATATAAAATTCATTACAATTATTTACCAACGTCTGAGTTCGTTTTAATATTAATATAAATATTTGTAGAATTAAAAACATTGGAAATTAGAGTTGAAAATTTATACAAGTTAGAACGTGCATAATAATAAGGAAAGTAAGTGTAGAAATGTAAGGAATTACTTATTCACGTTTGAAATCAGGTCATACGATATTTAGCAATGTACTTAATCAAAAATTACTGTAATGGTTAGAAAACGATGATAAGTACGTGTAGATTAAAACTCTCGAGCCACGAAAATGTGTCTAATCTTTTATAATTCAAGGAAAAATATTATACGTGCTCATGTCTAGCATACATAGATATCACGACTTTCTTATCAATTCCATGTACTAAAGAAAAAAGAAACTCATATTTGATTTATAAATGAGGGATGACTGATAACTAGTCCCGAATTAGAATTATCTTTTAAATATTTCGTTAAGAAACGTTGAAACCGAGTCACTTATACTTCGATTTAGTAAATCGATTATTTTTTACCCTACAAAATTTCCATTCTTTTAATACTTACACTTAAGTTATGATTTACATTTCCTTGTTTTATCTTGTAACATGATTTATAACTCCTAAGTTACAAATAAGTTTCCGAGAGGCGTATCGACAAACAAGATGATGTAGTATCGTGGATGGAATACATCCATGAAAAATGTTCCGATAAGAATAAGACTCTAATGGGACATTAACAATAAAATAGTAAAGCGTGCAGACAGTAACGTCTTCCCTGCAATTAATAAATCTCCCCTGCTGACAACCATGATATGTTACCGAAGATAAAAGTTCCTCCTACTGTACAAAAAAAAATCTGCTCGGTTCGTTGTCCTGTGCATTTTAATTTCAATCGTGTTTAATCATCCTCGAGTGAGAATTAAAAGCCAAAAAACAGAGTTGACACAAAAGAATAGTCCGGAAATATTTAGCGATCTAATCGGACAGAGCGTGATTTCATCTGAAAAGAGGAATAAAGGTCTTCATAGTTGTTGAAAATTAAAACAAACAAAATTAAAATAATGATTATTTAAATTCATGATTATTTCTTACAAAAATATTAACTTTCGTTATCTTTGATTATAATTTTATATTTTGTTCGAGGCGTGTTTAGATCAGTTTCTCTAAATACATAGTATCTCTTGATAATACATAGAAACTAGCTACTTAAGTATCCAATTTGCATTTTATTGCATTGCAATAGATGTATAAATAGCAATACAAAGATCGAACGCATAATTATCCATGTGAATGTGCATTATACGATAAAAAGTATCAAGGTATACTAAAATTATATTCATACCTCAATTATAAAATGTTATAAATTATAAAATGCATTAAGCTTATTTTTTTTCCTGCCAATTAAACGAGCTTATTTATCGACTTTATAACTAAATGCATATTACTAATACTGGAGCAAGGGTAAATATTATATCATAATATTAGAATGTGAATTTAGTTGGTCAATTGCAGCGTGAACTTTTAATCACATAGATAACAGGAAATTCCTTTCACTGTTAAGAATTATGCGCTCTTTCTACAGGCGTGTCTCGTAAATAAAGGTGAACCAGTAGGCTTAATGATTACAAAAACAAATGAATCAAGGTAAAACCAATTGTCCCGAAGCAGAAGAATTTTATTATTACATTGCAACTAGTTATAAGCTGATCAACGATTATGAAAGTTTGATTCGCACGAGTAAAAAGAAGCAAGTTCAAGCGGAAAGATCCAGAGAGTGTTCAAGGAATCGGAAACGCTTCACAAACTGGTTCCCTTGCACGAATTTTATTCGCGATTAAAATTAAATATACGACTCTACCCCTTTTTCGCAGTATAGAAAAAAAATCATACGAAATGTTTGCATAAAAAATGCATAAGAAAGTATGGATAGAAAAAACCTTGGGCACAACATAAATTGTCGCGCTGCTAACGAATGGACGATGGAAATTTTTATTAAAAAGATTTAGTTAGGCAGAAGTATTATTTCCACGTAAATATTCATCGAACTATTCCGGTTTTGCTTTCGATTGCAGAAGGACGAAATATAATTCAAGGCGAGAATGTTATGGGATATTTATTAATCTCGATCTGAGATCATCTAATCAACAATACAGAGATAGTCTGAGACGAAATAGGAAATGAATGGCAATTGCTCACTATTTCTGGCGTTTGACAGTAACTAATAAATTCACGTTGAAGCAGACAAATCTTTTCCGTTAGAATCAACGCGACCCGTCGATGCAATTATTTCTCAACGGTAATTGACTTTCGTTTGAAGGTCTTATTATGTAGGTATATATGCGTGACATTGTGCAATAAATAACGTTCGAGAAACTTCGAGATAAACGACGATTGTAACGCCGGCTAAATCAACGATATAGACAAGAATTAGAAAATAATTTTCTCTTTTTATTTAAGCTCTTCCAAGTTTCACATACAATAATTCTCAAATCTAGAATCGAACGTATTTCACAAATGGATCGGATGGTCGGACTTTCCTCAATCGTAGGACCTTGAAATTCGCGATACAGGAGAGGTCCATGACTCCAAACTGGTCCAGGTAATTGATTCGGAATCTTCCCTTTCACCTGTGCAATGTAAATCCTGGACATACAACATTTCCGAACTCTGCGGTAATCCCACAACGTGATGATATCAAGTTCTCTTAACGTCCTTGCTGATTAATTTTTCACACACAGGTCTACGTAGCAAGGCCACTAAAAAGAGTATTAAAATCAGCCAAAACTTATTTCTCGTTTCCTTTCATAAAGATATGAACGCGAAAGTTTCCTCTAATGGAATGCAACACATACATATATGTGTACATATATATAAATATATATACATATATACATACATATGTAAATTAGTTATCACAAATGATCATAACAATTACAATTCACGAATTCTTTACACGGTATGTACAAGAATATAAAGTACGTATTAAACGGCAACGTAACTGGTTTTCATTTCCGCAGAGCCCGTACTTCCTTATTTCAACAATTAAACGTGATAAAATTTTAGTAACGCACTAAATAAAAATAATAATGTGAACTATTTTATACGGACGTCGTAAGAAGGCAATTATATGCTGTTCTGAAGAAATGAAATTTATACAAGATTTTTTTTAAATCGTAATCGCGAGCAATAATTCTGATTAAATTATTCATACGAGTATAATTGTATGTAAATTATTAGAATTGATCGAATTATCCTCGTATACAAATGAGCCATGTGATTTGACAGAAACTTATTCTGAAATTATAAAACAGTTCGAGAAAAACTGAGTAGTAAATCATTCCTCTAGAAGGCTCGAGAAATATTCGTTGATTATTGCGAAAATTCAATGAATTATCCCCAAGCAGAGAGGGTAAACAATTTTTCGATCATGAGACGAAATTATGACCTAAACGAGTGGGCGTTCCAACGCAGTTTGACGCACTGACGTATATGTCTCCGTTCCCATTTATAACGAATAAGTACTTGGAACTAGATCGCGTAAAAAACGGATTCAAATCGTATCCAGAGTACCACTTCTGTCGTGCACACCTGCCAGTCAGTGCATACCTATATTATACACATATGTATGTGTATAGGCAGGATGAATGTGCAGAAACGAGACCAACAACAACATTTATCCCGAGTTACACATACGCGATCACGTCATCCATACGATTAAGGAAAGAGTTACACGAATTAGGAAAATCGTGATAGAATATTCCCTCGTTTCTCGATTAGGTCCACGAGCCAGGGGGTATTAAATTTCTTTCGAAGGCGCAATCATCTGTGTCCATTTTCGCTTGAAAGAATACGCAACAGCTATCACCTGACGAAAGTCATTATGATTTACTGCTCACATGAAGTTCCCTCAATTAATCAAAAAATTGTATTTATCGCGTGAGCCTCTCGTCCTCTTTGTTCGACCGTTGATTACTAGCTTCGATCAATAGTCCTAATGATTGTAATTGATCGAATAAAGCTAGATAACGCAGATTGTTCGTCTTGATCCTTCGATCGCGCGAGATTCTACGGCTCGACTAAATGGAAGCTTAAACAACGGGCGAAAAGTAATTTGTAATCTTTTCAGAAGCACCGTAGAAAGCAACGTTAGCATACAAACAGCCTACTTTTCGAAGCGTAGGATCTTGTACAGATAAAGAGCCGGGCCGCTTTCCCCACGCTCCAAACTTAACAGATAGTAAGTACACGAGGTACATCCGGCCAACCCCTGACTCGCATAAACGATCGGTCACCAGCAATATTCCATTGACCTTTGATCGCTGCAATTGCAACGCGACGGGTTGTCGCAATTGCTCTGACGCGATGGCACGATGATCTATCGATCCTCCACCTGTGAAACAACAATCTTTCTCACCTGCACTATAGTGGGGCGATGATAGCGCCAGCCGATTGGACGGCGCTGCGCTGCGGTCCACGTGCTACGATCCCACGATCGGCGAACGAGTGGGGACTGCAATGATTCTAACATATTTTTTGAACTCTGCCGATCTATGCTTTCATCACTTTTATACAGAAGCTCACGCGGTACGCACGCAGACCGGGAGGATAGTACATCGTGGACCCAGTGCCTCACGAGCACGTCACGATTTTTTTCTAACCGTGCATGTAGTCCCGGTACCCGTCGATCGACGTTCAGTCCGCTGGGAACCCCTCGAAGCCAAGATCGCTCAGGAACATCGCGACGATTTAAGGCGAGACTGTGGTCCAAGTTCCCGAGGAGTGTCAACAGGAATTCGTACCGTGTTACGCTCGGTCATTTAACTGACATTTGTACATTTCACGCGTTTGCTCAGTGCACAGATGTTAAAGGACTGAATCGTACGAGATATCTTCAGTAAGAAGTTGCTTCGCGAGTTTTCTGTAGAAGGACTGGAACGGTGGCCGCGCGATTTTCGTAACACGCCGAGTGGAATTCGCTTGTCGCACACAGCACCGTGATAAATCTCTCGTGCGCGCACGGTTCGTTCTGGACTTTCTTCACACGGAAAAGATTGAACCAAGTGCCGCACGATGAAGGACTACTTCAAGAGGATATGCAGCCGATTCACCGGGCGACGATACTCGAGCGTCAGCGTCAATCAGAATCAAAGCGACTCGAGTGAATCCGAGGAGATGACGATAGCCGAGAAGACGAGCAACCTGAGGAGAAAGTCTTCGATCGTCGTGAATCGTTTCTTTAATGAACTGCCGATGCATGTGGACACGAGGCCGAAATGCTCGAGAAGTGAGTACCATTAAATCCCCGGAAACCGTAAATTCGATGCTCGTGCGATGAATTCGAAACTGTCCCTTTGTTACGCTTCTCTTTACGACGAGCACGCTTGTAAGTAATACACGTGTATCCCAGCACCGTGTATACCACCTACGCATTACTTCTGAATTGCCCGTTGTGTGTCCCTTTGAATATTTCCAACGCGAAATGTTTGCAAATTTTATTGTATCGATAAAAAGAGATACGCGATACGACGTCAGTACGGTCGACAGTCAACACGGACATTTAATTCGATAAACGAGTACAACTTTTGCGCACGAATTTCGCAAAATAAACCGATTTAATATGGCGCCACATACCGGTGATAATGCAGGGCATTGGGGCTAACCGTTCGTTTATGATTAATTATGAGTTCCAAATGTCATGAATTTAAATAGTTCGCGGTTTGGCTTCGTATGCAAATGCTGCCACGGGACAGGGCACGTTCGGAACAAAAATGTGCGACATAATTCGCATCGAGACAGCTTGTGCAAGATCGTGAACGTTTTAAGGGGGAACCGGAATGCGAATGTAATACTAGACGCTGAGAAAGAACGGTTTACGCGGATGGAATTATAAAAATTGATCCTAAAAAGTTCACGCGTGAAGAGACTTCAATGTCGAATCATCCATTCAGACGACTGTTAATAACTGTTTCCTGGTACGCGTCTACGAATCTCTAGATTATGTTGATACTTCACCTATTTCGAGGAGTCGCTTTTTATTTTTATCACTATTCATGCAGATACTTTAGAAAAGGCAAAAGGATTACCTCGCATGATAGAGTTGAAATCGAGTCTCTTGAAATGGAACTAACGGTCGCTTGTAAACCATAAATTCTATTTCGTTTCAACCATTGAACTTGTGCTATGTACAAATTCTCGTAATTCCCCTATTCCCGCATAAGGACATTCCAGACGTTTTATGCAAATGATTCTGAATAAAGGATAATGAAAGATAACGATAAATATTTTAAAAATTGAATAGAACGATGAAATTTGTTTAAATTATTTTTTATATCATTATAAATTGCGTGCTAAAATTAAATACGAAACTACGACCTCGTAGCTTGCTTTCTTTGAAGATTAAAGTCACGTGCCATGTAATCAGAATAAGGATTCGCGAAGAACCGTGGAAATGAAGGATTCGTGAATACCAAGTTGAAGCTCTTCAGTCAGAAAATTTACAACAAATTAACTTTTAACATGAGCACTCTATTTCCTTATCTCGTGTCATGCTGAACCTCATCCACGTCTGCCAGTAAAATATCGACAATTTTGTAAATAGGCTGTAAACGCTTCGAGGCGCTATAAATGTATGCAAAAGCCACGACCTGTTTCTGCCATGCAACCGTGACTCATCTATGCTTTATCAGCATTGTACAATTGTGTTTATATAATTAATAACCGTGAAAAGTAACAGTAATCATCGGAAGTAATTTGAAAATGATTGCGATTTGCCGAACAGCGATATGAGTCGCTACTAATTTAATTTGTCTTCGCGTGAAACGGAAATATTATAGTAAACCAGTTTTCAGATTTTTATATCGTGAATAAATTCGGAATGAAAAAAATTGATTACAGTCGACGATCGATTTTTATTAAATCGTGACATCACGGCGAAGAAAAAAATTCCGTCGTAGATTAATCGATTCTTAAAAACGCGCATCCTCATTTTTAATGGAATCGAGAACTTTTTCACTTGCTGCCTTCTACAATTTATTATTCGTTTCCGATAGCTACGCGTACGATAAAACAATTGCAATACCATTTCAACGAAGAACAAAGGAAAAAGAAAAGAGAGTGATCGCTTCCATATGAAGATTTCAATGAAGCAATAAAAAAGCTGCTCGCGTACTTTATGCTAATAACGATTATCCTTCCTGGACACACGCGTAGGCGAATTGCAAGAGCGCCATAAAATCCTCGAATATGAAAAGCTTCCTACTTCGTCCAATGCCGAAAATTAGTCATTTCAATTATAACAAATAACACAATTAACCAATGACAGCTGAATACAATTCACAATGACTCTCTTAATAAGAGTTTGAAACGTGATAAGAAAATATTCTAGACACGTGAAGCTAACGGATCTTATGGTTGAATAATTTGATGATAGATTAATACTCTATTATCTATAAGATACTGTTAACACTTTGTATATGTACTGCGAAATTGTGTATCCTGAAATTTTAAATAACTAAAAACTTTAGAACTTTTTACCAAATGCAACGCTTGAATTATTTTTAACTCATCTAAAGATAAAGTTTCAAGTACGCGTCGAATGAAAAGGAAGTATATGTATATTCGAACGGAAGAAAATAAGAACACCCAACAGGTATCTATTTCAAATTCAGAACGTCAATTCGTTATAGCTAAATCTTCGATCTATGGCTTGATACACAGCGAGAATCTATTAACATATATTCTTGCGACAATATTCGACGTGACTCATTCGTCCAAAAATAAAATCACGATTATTAATGCAATCGAATGTCCAAAAACTGTTCGTAAATATCGTCGAGATATAAATATCCTGTCTGTGATTATGGAACATCGAAAATAATGCAGTAACATTAAATCAATCGAATTATCAGATATTTATGATTATACTTTAGTACGAATACGAGATAAACCTTTTATAAAAATGCACCGGTGCTTCATTAGTATGAATCAGTTTCCATTCCCAAATATCGATTTGCCTTTTTACGTTCTCTTGAATATTGCCCTTCAGCAAGAAAAGATCATCACTGAGATTATGGTTGTTTATTAAATATTTATCTCTGTTTAATAATTAAAACGTCGAATGCATTCGATAGCTGAAGAGTGTAAACAATTCCTTGTTCGATTAGCATTAGATCAGCGCATGTACATAATTGGCGACTGATAATACTAAAATAGCACTTGACAATCATTCGGAAGTCTCTAAACAGTTGATTTCCATTGAGAAAAAGGAGCACAAGGAAACGGAAACAATGCTGAACCAAGGCGAAGTCTACAAAGAACAAATGTATGTACGTATTCTTGAAAGTACAATGGATAAGAGTCCGTATCGGTCAATTAGAATTGAACGATAAGGAAACCCGTACCATTTACAAGGTTCAAGTTTACGGTCAATAGGACAGATTCCTATTCACATACAATAGCTTGCACTCTCTAACCCAGATTTTGCACTGCGCGACAGTGGCATTGGAATCACTTTTAAAAAGCAGTCGGCCACTTCGCTCAGAACCGGTTCGCCAGGACGAAAAGAGATAAACAGGAAGTATCAGAAATTTCTAGACTCATCAGCTAAAACTAACAAAAGCTGATGATGAGTGGAAAATCTCTCGCGCCTAAACTGGTTCTTAATCGATATCCCGACATTCTTGACTCATACACGAAGTATAAAATAGTATAAAATAAATGGAAACAGGAACACGTATTGAAGGTGGAAGTAACATAATACTATTCAAATCGTCGAATACGTAAAATCTTCTAGATATGTACATAGGCGTATATAATTGACGTATCCATGAACAGGTTCCGAAATAACGGTTACAGTAATGGTTATTTCTAATCTGACATTTGAAAGTTCCGATTTTATCGGATTGTTTATAGGATGAAAGGGTACTTATTTCGCCTTAATTCTAGCTTCGTTAAACCTGTTCTCGAAACTAGTACAACGCAGAATTCACCATTTCCCCGGTGCAATTTAGCAAGACGAGTAACAGAAAAAAGTGGTAGTGATTGGCATGAAGAAAAAGGGAAATCGGAAAAGGATCGAGCACACTGTCAGTATAAACGAGAATCGTCTTCCGATAAACCTCAGTGCTCTTTCACCAGCAAATACGTTAACTGTTCTACAAACGGATGCCCTGACAATTATTTGTGATTGAATGCATAATCAACAAGTTGAAAACGAATGATTTTGTAATTTAAAAGTCAAACTATCTTTTTTTGTAAAATATGTTGTTCGCGAGAGACGGTAAATCAAGAATAATCTTTCAAAGATCGGAACACTTTATTATTATCGACGTTGATCAATCACGAACTCTCAACTATTTTTTCCACGCGTTTAACATTTTCTTTTTTTACACATAATTTCTCGACTGATGAATATTCTTATGGTCACAAAAACTACTCCTAAAATTCCTTAATTGCTCTTCGCAGTTCCAGCAGCCTTTTCTGATACAAAGTATGTAGCATCCGATCGTTCACATGTTCACTTGTGCAACTGGAGAATGCCGTAATTTGATCTTTCGTTATTGACATTTAATCGAATAAAAATATGTTTACCTAATTCAATACATGGGTATAGTAGGAGATTTTGTCTCCTTAAATCGTAAATTGATCGATGTACTGACTCAAGTTGCTAAATTTTCTTGCTACACACTAGAGATCATTAACATGGAGAGAGAAAACAAAAATGGGAATGACAAACGACGAGAGTCGTTGAATAAGACCTTTGAAAATTGTTCAATTAATTCATGCTTGGGAAATAATAGAAAGGTGAATGAGTTCTAGCCAGACTGAGTACATTCTTCTGAACTATCATTATGTTTCAAAACGACACAACGGTCTTGTGAACACGCATATAGACGCAGAATGCTTACACCAATCTGACTCATTATTCCTTTCTATAATAGTTTTACGACTCCTCTGTCCCATTCAAGTTAATATTTTAACCATATCTCCTGCAACAATCTTCTTATCTCCATATTATTTAGACTAGCTAGGAAACTAGCAGTACTTATCATGCAATTTGCAAGGATTTCTACGTTACACCACAAGAGCACAGAACAATAAATATCAGCTATAATAGTAGGGTGAGTGACTAGTTCTCGTTCTTATGCAATCGCATACACTCTGGTTAATATGCAAAACAGAAATAATCACCATCTTATTATTTCGTTAATCGATTACTCGTTAGTCACGCCTGAAAGACGTTGTTTGAATAAAGTAATCTATCGATTAAAAAAATACGTAAATTGCAGGCTAACAAGAATTCCTGATTCATAAGAATGCGCCAGCCAATGAACAAAATACCGCAAAATTAACGTTGCCATGAAATTTAAAGAAATTCTAATGCATACGCACGAAGAACGAATAAGCAAATTATTGAAAGTATAAAATATTTACCATTGGGATCACGCGATATCCGAATCTCCATATATTCAAATAGTTTAACCTTTGACTAAATAGCGAACATATCCTGGACTTTATCTTTTTATTATAACACAGATGTATGCATAAATTCCGAGATTAGAAAGGAAAGGAAACGAATCAAGAATGATAATTCGAATAATTCGTTATTAATCGGATTACTGAACCTACTAGAATTGATATTCTGTGGATGGTCAGTTGAAAAGAAAAGATCGTACGGTATCGTGTGCGAGATTATGCGAGAGGTACACACGTGCCGGTCACTTCTGTTAGATTTATTTACATTGTGTAACTTTACGACTCGCGAACGGTATAAAAAGAAATCCACAAACACTCGAGCCGACAATGCTTTGGGTTTTTCGCGTCTCGGAGACCTTTGCGCGATGCTATTCATGACGCGAAGTCGTCAACCCTCGAACAACGTGACGATAAATTGCATACAGTCTGCACGTGCACGCATAGGTAGATTTACTTAATGAAAACGGGGCAACGAGCTTATGATACTTGCTAATAATACGTGAAGAAACACAAAAAACGTGCGCGGTATCAAATCAAACCTAGAGGACTCTAAATGAAATTTATAGAAATTAAAGAATGAGGATGGTTGAGATTAACGATTTATGCGGCGATTTAGAAACACGTACGACGACGAAAGACGAAGATGTGCGATCGATCGCGCAATATGTACGTGTATTGTAATTTCCGTATATGAGAGCGGGATGTTTCGTCAACTGAACGTCGGGGAAAAAAAGCTGCGATTCTATGGGTATAAAATATAAAGACACGGGGGGGCAAATATGCACTTTCTACTGTATAGCGCATTCGCAGTCGCGTCCCGATTACCGTCGGAAAATTATTACCACATCAAGCCGCATTGCCAGCGATCTTGCAATAGTCAAGAGCAAAATGGCCCCTTCTACGAAACCTACGGACAAGCATTTGGCAATCTTCTGAACCCTGTCCCCTTGCAATTTTAGCATTCATCTGTCGAGCTCGTGGCACGCGGTTGCTTCAAAATGTCACACCTCACTCCTATTCATCAATAAACATTACTATTCCTCTGACGAAGGATCTAAGAAAAAACGATTCACTTTTCACGTCGGTGTCATAACTTTGTCACTTTTTACAATCGGTGTGAAACGTCGATATGCTTTATTAACCCGTTCTCTCGAGAAACATCTTTTTACTCGATCGTAAATTCAATAAATCTTGTCATTTTAATTTCGATATTTTCGCTTACCTCATAATTGCACTACGATTACCGAATAAGCCTGCAGGCATTTCGCATTATAAATTCCTAATTGAACGCGATTTTTTTGTCAGTCGAGATTAACTCGCGTTTTCTGTAAGTCTAAATGATCGAACGATTAAATAATATTTTCAATACCGAATTATATCGAAGTAACTGTGAAAGAATGAACACGGCTGACATCGGATAAACTCAAGACGACTCGGCCTTCGAATGAACGCGCGGGAATTGACGTTTACGGTCGTATTTCCGCGACACATTGGTATTCTTCGTGATCGAAAGATTACTTAACGGTTACCAAAGCAATCGGTTACACGCTCATCGTTTCTTGATGAATCGCTACGGGTGTGCAATCTGAAGACAATGACAATGAACGCAATCACATACCCGGCTGGCTTAATTAAGACTATCTCACGCACGATATCAAAGGGAAAATGCACAATTCAATTTGGACGTTCGAAATTCGCACAATCTCGTGTAACGACATCAAACGTTTGCTTCGTCTTCAGACGAACTGACGATAGTGATTTTCCAAGATGAGGGATATTAAAACAACGCAAGTGTGATCAAGCAAAAATAGAGAATTATGCAAAAAAATGCACAATAGAAAAGTCCTTCGTTCCTAATCTTAAAGGAAATCCAAGGTTTTTCATAATTCTTTTCCTTCGGATTAATAAATAACAAGCTCGCAAACCTCTGTGATACGTAGTAGTGTTGTCGTCACGATAAATTTATTCCGTCAAGGATTCAGACGACTCACGTCACACGCAAATACCTGAGGAATGAGTAAATTTAATAATTACCAGATTTAATTGCAGCACGTTGACGAACCATCTGGTTCCACACGTTTTTCGTTCGACTAATCGCGTTTAATAAGTACGACAAAAAAAGATAATGTACCTGTTTCACTCATAACGCATCAGAGTTGACTATTAGGTAAAAACTGACACGAACAAAAAAGCATCAGCAAGAAACACTTTCATCGTCTTTTAAATGAGTCCACGGCCGGAGTGGTCGCAAAGAGGGAAAATGATGCATGCGTGCAAATCAGAACACGTTTGAAGCCGGCAAAAACCCGAAAAGGTTTCCTTCAGAAGTCCGGCGGTGCGCGTTCTCTTAAAATTCACTGAATGGTTCACAACCACACACACACACAC